GTCGATCACATCTAAATACATAGATTTAACCATGAACTCTCCATTCCTGGTAAGCTTCCAGCTCAACTTATCCGGCTGTTGAGAAAACTGCACATCCATCAGTCTTCTCACCAAATGGAGCCAGGCTTCCCAACGGGCTCTGGCAAGTGTTCTCCTAAAGTGAATATTGAGGGGAGTGGACCGAAGCACGGTAGCAACGAAAGCGTCTCTTCGTTGCACAATGCTATAAAGGGAGGGATACTGAAGCGCGAGAGGGGTTTCCCCTAGCCACGTATCCTCTAGAATTTCGTGGAAGTACCGTTTCCGACAAGAAACTTTGTTCTGTTGAAAAAGACTGATTTGACTCTCATCAGCCCTTTTCAGAAAGGTGAGTCCGTCGGCCTCACTGTCACCTGTGACAAAGTTTTGGACTGAAGGTACTTGTTACGCAGAATCTGCGCCCACGTGGCATCCGACTCTACAGATAACTTATACAGCCACTTGCTGAGAAGACATCTGTTTTTCACCTCAAGATTTTTGATACCTAGACCCCCTTGGTCTTCTGGTTGACAAATAATATCCCATTTAGTGAGTCTATACTTCCTTTTTAGGTCATCACTCTGCCAGAAAAATCGGGATTGATATAAATCCGGTCTTTTCCGAACTCCAACTGGTATCTCAAAAAATGACAAAAGAAACATAGGCACTCTCGTGAGCACTGAATTAATAAGAATTAGACGGCCCCATATGACATCAGCTTGCCCTTCCAGCAACTCAGTTTCTTTTCGAATCTATCCTCAATATACTTCCATTCTCTATTTGTTAGCTTACGATGGTGGATTGGTATACCCAAATACGTAAAAGGTAAATTCCCAGGCTACCTACTTGACCAACGTCCTTTGCCCTACCTATTAGAATCAACATGTCAACTACAATGTTGAACAGAATAGCCTCCGAAATTGATGGGAGGTCTTTGTTGCTCCTGTTGCTTCTCTGGCCGAATGGCGGCCACCCATTTTCCTCTCGGGCCCAACTGCTTATAAGGAGGCAGTGCGCCGTCTACTCGGAGATCGTGCCTTGTTGCTATGGAAGTCTCGTCGTCTCAAGTGGCTCTATCCCCACGACAGCGAGGTGGAATCAAAGTGGAGTTTGAGGACCCAGTTGCGTCTTAGTATCTCGGGTCGGGGCCCTTTCTGCAAAATTAAGGGTTTGTTTATAATTTTTACAAACTGCAGCAACAATCAAAACCACTACTATATTATAATTAATGGTCATATAATGTTTCTAGTGCCATGTGAGCTTTGCGCATACACCGTAGATCCACCCCATTGCTCACGACTCAAACAAAAGTTCATTGATATTGAAGATAAGACATGCAACCCCAAAGGACAAAACAAACGAACATGTAATTGGATGGTTAGGAGGACAGTGGTATCCCGACCCATTAAAGTTCAAGTCCTAGATTTGACATTGATGCTTGCATTATTCCTGGATTTATTTTAGGCTTCCGGTGATGTTCGTTTAGTGAGAGGAGACGTTCTCGTCGACTGCTTCGTAAAATCCCAAGATGTTATGCTGGCTCAGTCTCTCGGAGGTTCTCACGGGGGTAGAGTGTACGTGCGTGCGTGTGTACTTTCATAGAGGTGAGTGTATGCTCGTGTATGTAAGCGACTTCGATTGTAATGTGTTCGAAGAAAAACCAAAGGACCAAAAGAACAAGTTTGGTACTCAAACAGATAGCCAATGAGTTCCAACATCTAAGTGCATGTGCAAAGACTATTTATCCTAGAATCTAAGTTTCAATGAAGGTCAGCTGTTGGTTGTGGAAATATAAACTGCATTGTCAGAATTACATGGCTTCAATATGCCTTGACCTCAGAGCATTTTACCTAATTTCTCTTCACCTCCGTTATCGAAAAAAAATACATGTAGTTGATCTGCGCCTCAATAACACAATTTTTTCACCTCCTAAGAATATCTAGTAGTGCTTCTAATTGGGTGATTTATTCCACCTCTTATGGAATCTCATTGACAAAATTATATAGCTATAGTTGCATCTCATGGATCCCTCGAGGTAGTTACAAATATATAGTTGAATCTCATGGACGAATATATATGTTGCAGATTTGGTTAGGTTCAACTAGGTACACCATCTGGTCAGAGAGCGAAAGCTATTAAGAACTCTAGTACTCCCTCCGTCTGGAAATACTTGTCATCAAAATGAATAAAGGGGATGCATCTAGACGTATTTTAGTTATAGATACATTCCTTTTTATCTATTTTCATGACAAGTATTTTCGGACGGAGGGAGTAGAAATCAAGAAAACACACGAGGTTGGGGTGGTTCCGCTCCGCCGGTTCGTCGGCTAGATGTGATTGTTGCCGGTTGGATAGGATCATCGCCATGGGGGTTGGGGGGAGGGGGGTGGCACCATCGCCTCCTTTGGTGGTGCTCGCTGTCCCTTGTCTCCGGCACCGCCAACCCTACCAAATCAAGAGAAAAGGTCAGAGTGAGGGCATTTCGCGCGAGGAAGGTTTGCTTCCATGGTGAGGCGAGAGGGTTGGTTCCCTACGGTTTCCATGTGGTTTGGGAGGGTAAGAGCAACTCTAAGGGCAAGGCCAACGCTACAGCGTGGACGGCTGCCACAGCTATCCACGTCGGCTCGGGTGGTCCCAAATGGCTTGAGGTGCTGCCTGCAGACCAAAGCGGGTGCCTGCAGAGGAGGCCGACTCCTACTTGACCAAAGTAGCAAAAAGGAGAGAGGGAGGAAGAAAAGTAGAGAAAGTTGAGCTTGCATGGGTATAAACACAGGCAAACTCTCTCTCCATGCGATGAAAAAGAGAGACTGTGACCCCCGTGAGGCAGCCTAATGCATTGGGTGTTTGTTTTTTAGTACTATTGCTTCATCATACTTTATCTAGGTGGAGAGGATGGAGCTACACCTATGGGTGCTTCCATTGTACATGCCCTAACAGACCCCGCATCCCGCCCCGCCCCGTAAAATAACCACCAAAATGCGGGTCGGGGCGGAAAAAGCAGCCCGATCAGACCCTGCATCCCGCCCCGGCCCGCAAAAAAAATTAGGGGGCGCGACAAAATCCCGACCCCAACCCGAGAAAACGCCCCC